CCCAGCCAGCATGGCTGGCTGGGGAATTCTGGAAGTTGAAGTCCACCCATCTTAAAGTTGTCAAGGTTGAGGAACACTGTCATGGAGCATGTTTTCCTTTCTCAATGTGCACCAGCACTGCCATCAGTGATGTCTACAGGAGCTCATCACTTTAGTTGAAATGATGAAAACATCGTGGCAGTGAAAGTTGGACACGGGTCTCCATTTAACCAAGACTTGCCACCTTTAAGGTTTAAGGCTTATCTTCCTAGCCTTTTATGTTTCCAGATTGTTGGCTATACAGGCGGCATGAGGCTAGCTATCACAAACCCAGGTTGAAGACCCTCCTTGGTGGCTTATAGCTTTTTTTTCAAATCCCTCCAAGCACCTAACCATAATAAATAGAAGTGGAAGCAGGAAAAACTCAACAGAATTATTATGGTTGGATTCATACAACAATGCTGGTTTAAAATTGGGCAGTGCATTATGTGAATTCAATATCCATGGGTTGCCTGTTCCAATATAGCCTATAGCACTAGTTAAAATCAAAATAAACACAGCTGAGAAAAATAGAATCCCACTTTTAGAAAGAAATACAGCTATGCAAAAGTACACTCTTTATCTACCTCCTAATCTCTGATACTAGAGACAGATTGCCTCTATTGCTCCATTATAGCCAAATATACACATCCTGGGCTTCAAAAATCCCACTTCCCTCTTTCTTTTTGGGTAAGAATTTCATTTTTGCATGAGTTCAACTTTGAAATATTTCCTTACATATATGGATTTTTATTGATTTAATTTGGAGCAATGGTTGCCAAAATATGGCTCAGGAAACGCTAGAGTTAATATCCATAATGAGCTACAATAAAAGTACACATTACTTTAAAAAAAAAAGGCTAAAATCTTATGAAATCACCACATCCCAGAAGAGGGATATTCTCATTTTAAACCCCATGTGATTTTGCTATCTCATCTGCAGTAATTTTGCAAAATTTCAAATAGGGACCTCAGCATTTTGAGAGATTTGGCAGTCTTGTGCAATTTCAGTCATTTTAATATTTATATTTCAAATTTAGACTCCGCCCATTTCAGAGAGCGACTCTGGGCGGTTTACAATAAACATAAGAATAAAAACCAATTAAAATACAATAAAAACAGTGTTCATAAATAATATATTCCAAGGAATTGATGGTATATAATAAGTTATCGACCTACGGGAGCTGAATGTAATTTAACTTTAATTTTAATTAAATTAAAATTAAATTAAATTGATGGTCAATTTTGGGATCCCACAGGCACCACCTTGTGGGGTGGGGGAGTCATGTGTGCTCAAAAACTTTGGATAACAATGTAGAGAAAAGTAACTTAGCAATAGATTGAGAACAAAGGGCTGAAATATAATGGCGAAAATGCACACCTAGCTGCTTTCCCAGCAGTGGCATATTTGTTCAGTCCCCCTTATGTGTCTGCATGTGCATGTGTAAATAGAAACTGTGTCAGTGAATTGGTTGTCAAGGAAAAGCAAGGAAATCAATTTTCCATCATTGCTGTCCTTTATAGTAACTCAATTGCTTGTAAAATGTGGCTTGAAAGAAACGTATTCCATAGTGGTGGTAAATTTGAGAGAAAACTGGCCATGTCAGTGTGACTCAGGCATTTGGAAAAAGGAACCTGTGGGAGAAGCAAATTTTAGACAACTATAGGTCTGCCTGCAATTTAAAAGACAGGATTTGAGAACTCCAGCTGTGATAAATCTGACATAACTACCACAACTTCATTGCCCAAGCAGGAATCCATCTGTAGCCCACGTGGTGCTATGAGGATCTTGAGATATCATCAGGGTTGGAAGTACCTCAAGGTGTGCAGAAATAAGAAGAAACACTGGCGGTTTAACAGGCAGGCAAGAAGGAAGATCACAAACTAAAAGGGAGGGAATGACCAAGATTGTTCAATGAGGTCTCTGCTTGTTGTCTGCCTAAATGCTAACTAAAAGAAAAGAGAAAAAACAACAGAGCGTCATGATAGACTGGGATAGTCCAGAAAAGGACATGGTCAGTTGGTTTCCAGAAGACTGGGGTGGAATAATTTTTTCAGTTGTGTGTGTGTGTGAGAGATTGTCTGTCTGTCTGTCTCTATCTTATCTCTCCCCTCTCAGCCCTATGGGTGGTCTGTGTCTTCCTCAATCTTGGGTTCTCTACCAGAGGCCTGGGAGATTGAGGGTTCTGCACAGTATCTGAGTTGTTCCTAGCACTGCACTCTTCTGGACAGAGGGCTCTGAGGCTGTCCTGGGATCTGCTGGAGCCCCTCTCCCAGCTTAGGAGTCCAGCCCCGAGTGCTCCTACCACCACTGGGACCACTTTGACCTTTACTTACTTTACTTTACATCCTCTCTAGTTCCTTCTTCAGGCCCTGGTACTTCTTTAGTTTCTCATACTTCTTCCTGATATTGCTGTCACTTGGCACCACTACATCTATCACCACTGCTGTCTTCTGGTCCTTGTCAACTACCACGATGTCTGGTTGATTGGCCAGTACCTACCTGTCCATCTGGATCTAGAAGTCCCACAGGATCTTAGCCCTGTTATTATCCATAACCATCTGTTGGATCTCCCATCTGGACTTGGAAGGGTCTAGCCCATATACTGTGAATATATTCCTGTACTCAATTCCAGCTACTTGGTTGTGCCATTTAGTGTATGCTGTTCCTGCTTGCATCTTACACCCTGCCACTCTGTGTTGGACTCTCTGAGACCTCTCAGATTTTCTCCCTTACTGTGGTAAGGACAAAGGTGGGGAGATGAGTGAGGAAATGTGCATTGCAAGATCATGACATGAACTTAGCCCCTTAGCTACTTGTGTATGGTGTCACATTACTAGTACAAAAGGATGGAGCTTCCTGTGTGACATCATATCACATTTCATCACTATAAGAAGGTAAGGGCAAATCATTTTTGTGTTGTTGATACACGGACGTGTCCCTATAGTCATCAGGAGTTGAGTTTGACTTGAAGATTTACATAAATTGGATGACAAAATTATAGGC